ACGGCTCAGTCAGGCCAGTTTGCTCAGACTTCCAATTTGCTTTTTCCAGGGCCGGGAAAAAGCAAAATGGTTCAGACTTCCAATTTGTTTTTTCCCAGGCCTGGAAAAAGCAAAAAGGCTCAGACTTCCAATTTGCTTTTTCCCGGCCCGGGAAAAAGCAAAATTGTTTCAGATTTCCAATTTGCTTTTTCCCAACCCGGGAAAAAGCAATCGGAAGTCTGAAGAGCAATTGTTCTTGCAGCGTGGCCAGGTCACCAACATGACTTGCGCAGACCTTTCGCAGGACCTTCGCGAACCTTTTGCGACTGCAGTGAGAGCACACTCGAAATCAGCCTTTGAAATTCGATCACTAACAAGGAAGAGGTGGGTTTTTGAACGACGCTCATATGCAGCCAAGCGAAGACAAAAGACGGTCTTTCTGGCCCACCCTTGAGCGCTTCGCAGCGGGCGAACCCACCCCATTGGACGAGCATCCTTCTTCCGTGACCGTTTGTCGACGCCGCTTGAAGGCAGACGCAGAAGAACAGGAGAGCAGTCACCACTGGACCCCTCATGAAACGATGCCCAAGGATGAAGCAGAGGATTCGGAGTCGGACGCTGAAATCGGCGCCTTGCAGAAATCTGTTGTTGAGTTTGTGGAGCCGTCCATCGGCGGCCCAAGGATGTCCCATGAGATCAGCTTCAGCTTGGCCGCAGAAGCGGAGCCTGATGCGGCCGACAGCGAAGTCAAGTACAAGCTCCAGATAGTGAGGCGTGCCCCCTACATCCCCAAAGAGGCTGGGGGCTGTGACTGTGGAGTGAAATCTCAAAAGACCTGCCAGATGTTTGATAACATCTAGTTTCCGTCTTACCAGGTTCATCCTGTTGTTCTTTTAGGCTGTTTCTCCCAAATTATCCTCAGTCCGTTTTTGCATGCTTGCTTCTCCCAGGTTTTCGTCAGATCATTGATCCATAGTCTTTTGGTCTGTATCAGGTCTAGGGTTCTGGAAGTTGCTACCTTGTTCGTATCATCTCTGGTTTTGCAGTCTCAGTGCATGCCACAAGATGCTGTTCACAGAAAAACCACCGTCAGCTGGCATGGGCTGGTGTGGATGTGTTGAACAGCTTTCTAGCAGTTTTCAGGCAGGGAAGCGCTTTTGCGACCTTTCAAAACATTTTGAGATGTGCTGTCATTTTCAGCTCGTCGGGTCCTTGAGTTGTGTTTTGGCACCAGGGAGAGATGATCGGATGTGAGCGAAGCCAAGAAGCTTTTTGACAAAGCTCCGGTTGGTTGGGAGGATGTAATGGCAGATGGCATTGGCGCGACTGTCAAGATTCTTCAAGTTGACACAGATGACACTATCTTAGTTGAATATGAAAGTGGCCGTCAATGGTGGTGGCCGACTTCAGTGTTCCAGCAAAAGGCCGAGGACCATTATGGAAACTTTCACAGGTTGATTTGTGTGAAGGAGTAGGCATGCTCAGTTACCTGCACGCTTGTGCAGGACTCTGCCAAGCCACCTCCGCAAATAAAGGACGTCTTGAGCTTCCGGGAGTACGACCCCGTTTCAGGACAGCTCAAGTACGCGATTCTGGGTACCATTGAGGGGGGCAGACACCACGGAGATTTGTTTGCTTCCCCTGCTGCAAAGTGGTGTGATCCTGCGTGATTTGCTCCGCCTCGCGCAGTTGGCCAAGGTGGGTCTTCGTGCTGTTGCCGGGACGCTGCTGGCCACCCACATCGCACGACTAACCCCCAGACTTGGGTCGTGTGCAACCCATAGACAAACCAACCAAGCAAAGTATAGGAGGGAGGGCCCCCCCAAAGAATCGAAACAACAAGTTCTTCGGAGACGTCTTCATTTCTGCACGACTCAAGTTTTTCTATACAGAGCATGTAGTTTTGCACCTGCACCCTGGCAGGTTCCAGGCTTAGAGGCTCACGCTCATGCTGCTCGAGCATCAAGGGGCATCGGTTGGTCCAAGCTGACCCGGAGAGGTGAACTCTTCCTACCCAAAGAGGTTTTACTCGGAGTGCTGCCCGAATGCTTGGTGGAAGCTTACAACTTCTATCAGGACATGAAAGAGGAGAAAGTCCTGCGTGGGTATCCTCTCAACCATAAACATGAAGAGGAACCCTTTGCAAGCATGGACCATTGGCTCTTGGTGAGGCTTGTCGAGCGATCAGCTGCGAAGCATACCCAGATGAAGGGAGTTCATGCCTTTGTGACCAAGATCATGAAGTCTTCATGTGGCATGTCTTCAACAGCCAAGAAGCTTGTCGACCTTGTCTTCGCAGAAGAGGGGTCTGCCGGCTTTGTCGTAGCCCAGGTCATTTCGAGGTTTGAAAACTTGTCACACTGCCTGGCTTGGTCGGATGATGCATCTTCTGCTTCTATCGATTCTGTTGAGTTGCCTAGACTTCACTTGACTTTCAAGCATAGCCATGGCAAATTGATTTCGAAGGACTTCAAAGGAATGCACCTTGTCACCTCTGTTCCTGAGAAAGTTTCGCACTTGATGCGGGGCCTTCCTCATTGCCTGCCTCTCCAGGATCAAAATGAGAACTACCATATATTGGTGCCTTTCGTTCTGAGCCACCGACCAGACATTCAATCGGATCCCTTCTCTTGTGAACTTGTGTTGGAGCGTGAGAATGAAGATTGGCAAAACCACAACACAAAGGTTTTTCTCTATGAAGTGCACTTGTCACGGACATTCCTCTTCACACCAACCACAACAGCTGCGCTGTACTTATTGCTGCTGAAATTGCAGCATCGGCTGTAAGATGAGACAGCGCGCTTGATTCCTGCCATTGCTGCTGATAGCAGGCACACTTGCAGAGCCTGAAGGATCAGCATCCAGATGCATGTGCTTGCAAAGTGAAGATTGGAATAGCCACAGGCGAGGGATGATCAAAGTGATGTCCGGGCTTACTTGGGCACGCCTCAAACCCAACCAAAATCACATGGCCTTTTGGCATTAACCTGGATCCCTAAACAAGCAGGGTTGAGATTGTCACCCCGGGAAAAGAAGCAACTTTCCACCCAAAGACCTTGAAGTACGACGAGACATGGCATCCAGCTTCTCCATTAGGTTGGGCCGGAGTTTCAAGCCTTTGATCGTGACTTAGGTGATGCTGGCATGCAGCTTCCAATGCGTCTGGACTTGGAAACGGCGCTCTATGTGCAAAAGTTGCAGCACGTTTCTGCCACATGCCGCTTGACATTGGAAGAAGAGCAGCGGGCGTTACAGCTCATTGAGGATCAAGACCACCGCCTGCAGATTGCGCGCCAACACTTAGAGTCTGTCCCAAAAAAGCAGTGGGCTGAAAAGGTCGAGTGCAAGAAGTTTTTGGCCGCGCTGCAGGCCTTGCTGCGATCAGCATCCCTGCCGGTGCATATAGAGGATGCGAAGCAACTCCTGGTGCAATCAAGTGATTGGAAGCACCTCCCTCCCGACATGGTTGCCACTCTCTCCAATAGACGAAGTGCCTTGGAAGCTCTTGGAAGGAGTCCCCAAGGCACTGGCCTTGCTCTTGAACCATGCCGAGCCGAGCTGGTGTTGCCCGCCAGGGGCACAGGTCCCAAGTCTGCTCTTCCAGGCAGCTTGTTCCAAAGCAAGGACATGAGCTTCCTTACTCGGAGCCCTGACACCATTGTTCGAGAAATCCCGTTCAAGGCGGACAACCACGAAAAATTGAAAGTCGATGCTGCAATTGCCTTGATTTGCAGGATGCTGGCTGATGAAAAAAAGGAGAAAGACACCGAACTGAAACTCTTCTGGCTGCTTTACAGTTGCCTCACACCACACAAGGGTGGTGTCAAGGTACAAGTGAGGAGTGGACAGCTCTGCAGCCATTCACACAGCTTTGGCAGTCTGCTCTTCTTCCTTTCAGACTTCAACCGATCATTTGGGACGCGGCAATCGCTCCTGCGACTGATGATTCAGAACCAGGAGCTCTGATGTTCCCCGGAAGTGCCGTCCTTTTGTTTTATACTAGTAAGGCCAGGAGTGCCCCTTGTAGCGTCCTTGCTCCTAGTAGCGATGCCCTTTGCTCCTAGTAGCTTCTTGTTACTAGTAATGCCAGGAGCTACTAGTTACAGACGGCACCACAGACTAGTAAACTTCTGTTTAGGTTTTAATTTTGCACCACTCCACCATGGCTGTGGATCAAAGGAACACACGCAAGGTGATCAACTCCCCAAATCATCAGGTGCTGGATCAAGAAAAGCATCTCTTATCTTATCCATTTTAGCTTCATTTTCTCCTTTAAAGCCGATTGGTGACCCGGTCAACAAACCCTCACCCAGTTTGTGCACTCGCCTTGGCCGCGTTCGTCCTGCAGGAGATTTTCCTCGAAGGCTTTCCTTCGTTGCTCGCGAAGAACGATCGTGACTTTCAGCTCAAAGTCTGGGAGTTGAGCAGCGCCTGCCGGAAGTATCATCCGATGCTCAGATGGCCCCAAGGCATGGAGTGGGGTGGTGGGGAGAGATGTGTGCTTGAGGGATATCATGATATCAGCGACTAGCCACCCACATTCCTTGACGAATGGTGCGTTCAAGCAAGTGAGTTGTCTGAAACCGTGCTAGATGGATTTTGAACGGCCCAGCCCTGCAGGCACGGAATCCTTCAAGTGCTTCGCGCAAAAAGTGGAAGCTGTTCCAGTTCAGGCCGCTGTGGGCCACGGCGTTCGACCAGAGCTGTGGAGTGGAACGAGTGGAACCGCCAAGCAGGGCCAAAGCCTCCATCTTGCATGGTGGAAGCCTCCAAAAGTGAGCAACGCCAAGCAGGGCCACAGAGAACTGCTTGCCTCACAAGAGCTGGCGAAGGCTTTGGAGCATTTCAGCTGCAGTCCGCTTGATGGTTTGGAAGGTGGCCTGAAGAAGTACACTGCAAGTGTCACGGCTGAGCCCATCCGAAAAGCATTGCCGTTTCAACTTGAGGACAAGCCTGACATGAAGTCTCCTTTGTCGAAACAGGCCTTGAAGCGCATTCGGGAAGAGATGCAGACCTTTGGAGAATTACGGAGTCGAGATCGAAAGCAACTCTTGTTGTTCGTAGCTGCAATTAATGAAAATAGGCTGCCAATTCATGAGGAGACCATCGACCTTAAGTTTGCTCTGAAGGGGTTGCGAAATCATGACATGAAAGAAATGCAGAATCTGAGTGAAGATGTGCTGAAGGCCGCGTCCAATCTTGGTGATTCTCACGAAATACTTGAAGAAGAGCGATTGAGGTTTTGGCTGCTTCGCTATGCAGGTCAGGAGGCAAGCATTTGGTTTCAATTTCTTTGTGCCGTGCTTTGCAGTGATGCTGCCACGGAAGGTTTGCGGCACTTGAATCCCTTTAAAAAGCTGCTTCGCCCTCGGCAAGTGGAGTTAGTTCAAGAGTTTGCCAGATCAGCGGCGGAAGAGGAATCGCTCGTAAAGCAGATGATCATGGGAGCCGGGAAGACGACTGTGGTTTCCCCACTCTTAGGCATGCTACTGGCTGACGGGGAGCGATTGGTGGTGTTGATGGTCCCAGCCCCTCTCCTGGAGTTTGCCAAGTCAGTTCTCACTACAGTCTTTTCCAACATCATTCTCAAGCGCACCTTCACCTTTCAGATGACGCGTAGCGATGACGTCGATTGCCAGCTTTCCAAGAAGATCAGTCGGCTTCGTGACTCCGGAGATCTGGTTCTCACTGTCCCCATGGCGGCGAAGAGCCTCATGCTTCGCTTCATGGAGTCGTTGCTGGTACTGAACGACCGGAAAGCTAAACAGCGGACCCCTCAACTGCGGAAAGGCATGATGAACTTGGGGGAAACGTTGGAGCTCTTACAAGAGTCTGTAGTGCTGATTGATGAGGTTGATTGGGTCTTGCATCCTTTGAAGTCTGAGCTCAATTTCCCCATTGGCGAGAAAACGCCCATAGATTTGGCCCCCCGCCGCTGGGAATTGCCCCTCCATTTGCTGGAGGCATGCTTTCTGGCGGGTCCTGACAGCGCTCCAGAGGAAGGCAGCATCTTGAAGGAACTGAAAGAGGCAATTGCCAGCGGCATCACCGACTGCAACATCATGAAGGAGCCCCATATGGTGCTTCTGGATGAGAAGTTCTATCATGAGATGATGAAGCCACTTCTTCTCCAGTGGTTGGGGAGTTTCCTAAACCAGAGACACATTGGAAGGCAGTTCAAAGGTATGCAGAACGGCCAAGGGCTTCAGTCTGAGGAGGTTTTGGCTTTTGTTGGCAACACTCATAGCATTTCTGCCAGCTACTACCTGATCGCCAGCAAGTATCGATTGAGTTGCCACGACAAAGAAGTGCAGTTGGGTGGCCCATACTTCTTGGAAGAGGGAGGCGATTTCGTCTTCCAAGCATCCCGCGCGTCCCGCGGCCCTGATTGTGCTCTGTGGGTTATTCGAAAGGATGGCGGGAAGTGGATTTTGGGAAGACGGAAAGGCGGAAAGCTGGAGGCATTTTGTCAGGCGAATCCAGGTGCATCGGACGAATTTCCCCTCTTGCAGTGGAAGGTGATTCATGACGGATGGGCTTTGCGCCCAGATATGAACATGGAAGCTCGAATCACTTCACTCGAAGCGAGAATGGCCAACGACACACAAGTGAACACACCCGACATGAAAGTCTTGACTTTGGCCAGGGATTGGCTGAATGTAATTCTACCGCACTGCCTCAAGAAAATCAACCGCGTGACCTTTGGACTGATGACCGATGAGCAGGTGAAGGATGCATTACAGGAGAACCCACTGATGTCAGAGACCCGTGGCAAGCTTGGTATCCCCTTTGTGGGGAAGGACATGCCATCGCCGGCAGCAGAGTTCCAGCATCCTGATGTGCTGGTGGGCTTGAGCTTTTGGAGTTATCGCTACCAAGGCCTTCGAAAGAGTGACTTGGCGGATTTGCTGTCCACCTTGTCTGATCGGTATTCGCGTGAGCCTGGAAAGCCCAGCGAGCGTCCCACCAGCAAGCTCTTCAAAAGTTGGGTGGAAGTTTCGGGCGGGAGAATGGCTGGAGAGCGGACGTTGCAGATGGAAAAAGCGGAGAAGCCGAAGTTCCGGCAGCTTCATGAGTTGGAGTTGACGAATGAGAAGCAGATGGAGGAATTGCATCAACTACTCTACAAGACTGCTGCGGTCGTTGATTGGTACCTGAAGAATTGCATCTTCCCGGCATCCATGCGTTTTCAAAGCGAGCAACTTTCTGCGAGTGGTGAAGATTTAGGGGGCAGCGTGCTTTTCAAGACACGCTTGGGCTTCTCTGGAACACCATCGGATTTGATGCCAATGGAGTTGGGTTCGTGCGGCTTTGAGCCTGGTAGTGAAGGTGAATGCATTTACAACCTCTGTACGTCGGAAGGCGGTCAATCATGAGCATTTTTGCGCACCAAATTCTTTCAGTCTAGTGTCATTCTCTTGGAAGAGTGGAATTGAAAGATGGTAAAGACATGTGACATGCCAAGACTACTATATCATGGTAGATGTGCGGCTGCAAGATGCATCCATTGTTTGTTTGTTTGTTTGTTTGTTTGGTTGGTTGGTTGGTTGGTTGGTTGGATGGTTGGTTGTTTGTTTGTTTGTTTGTTTTGTTTTGTTTGTTTTGTTTTGTTTGTTTTGTTTTTTGTGTTTGTTTGTTTGTTTGTTTGGTTGGTTGGTTGGTTGGTTGGTTGGTTGATTGGTTGGTTGGTTGTTTGTTTGTTTGTTTGTTTGTTTTGTTTGTTTGTTTGTTTTGTTTGTTTGTTTTGTTTTTTTTGTTTGTTTTGTTTTTTTTTGTTTTTTGTGTTTGTTTGTTTGTTTGTTTGCTTGGTTGTTTGTTTGCTTGCTTGCTTGCTTGCTTGGTTGTTTGTTTGTTTGTTTGGTTGGTTGTTTGTTTGTTTGTTTGTTTGTTTGTTTGTTTGTGTGTGTGTGTGTTTGTTTGCTTGCTTGCTTGCTTGCTTGCTTGCTTGCTTGGTTGTTTGTTTGTTTGTTTGTTTGTTTGTTTGTTTGTTTGTTTGTGTGTGTGTTTGTTTGTTTGTTTGTTTGTTTGTTTGTTTGTTTGTTTGTTTGTTTGTTTGTTGTAATCCTCTAACCGTGGTTCACGTGTCACTGTAAGTGAAAATTGAACCATGGGTGCCTTTCTTGAGTAGTGAGTGCAAACGAATTGAGTTGGCTTGATGAGTATAGCAAACTCAGCACCCTTGACATGTAAAACCTCTCATTTGAAGGCGCAACCATGCGGACCGTCGAGGATTTCGGTGGTCTCCGAAGCGGATTCGGATCTGAGCCTGCATTTTGCTAGAGTATGTTACAGTAGATTCATGTAGAATGAAGAAACGACAAGACTAGATGTGTTTACGATCCTGGACGGAACTACAATATGATTGTTTTCTTTTATTCTTGAAGGGCTGCAAATTGCAGCCTGGATGCGCAAACAATTTCAGGGATGGCCACAAGCCCAGTATAACACCTGTGTCATGTGTTTGGACCCAGAAAAGGACACGCCTGAGAACCCGCGTAAAGTGATTGAGGGTTCCTTGTCTGCCCAATGCGCTGTGGCATCCCTTGGACTGTGCACTTTAGACTTTAGAGAGATATTTCTTGCCATTGCAACAGTGCTTGCTTTGCAGGTGGTTTGTCTTTGTGCTGGTATTCTTGGACTTCACTTGCCGCATTTCCAGAAGCACTGGGCTCCGGGTGCGTCTGAGTACGGTATCCCGCGAATGAATTGTCAAAACTGCGCTGTGCTTACATTTTTGTCATGACATCCAACAGCTTGTCCTTCTTGGTCTCCGTTCTCCTTGTCTTCCCTTGCCACCATGGTTGTTTGTGCGACGTTGTCTCATTCGACTGAGGAACTGCGGAACCAAGTAAACGCCCTTTCTCTCCAGTTCTTTATGTCGTTTTCTGCAGCTCATTTCCCCCATTCACATCCAACACCGCCTCGTTCAGCTTCTCGCAGATGACTCAAACATGTTTGAGCTAGCTAGAACAATCCCCATAAGTGAACCTGTCAGGTGGCATCGTCAGTGTTGACGAGATTTTGGACAAAGCGTGGAATGCAAAATCCTTGCTTCAACGTGTTGCCAGCAATGAACACCCTCTCCATGCTTTGATTGACACTGGCGCGCTTGTCACTGGTATGACGAACAAAGAAGTTGCTGAGTTCCTGCTGCAGCACCTTCCTGGCCACTTTGAGGGATGCGTTTTCATCTCAGAAGCTGGGCGCAAGCAAATCCTGGTGCGATCTTCGCAAGCCGTAGTGGATCTTGATGAAAGCCCTTCGATTCCACTTGAGCACCGCTTCGTTTTCTACGACCAGGTGCACACGACTGGCATGGACATCCAACACAAACCAGATGCAGTCGCCGCTTTGACCCTGGGAAAGGACATGGTCTTTCGGGATTATTCTCAGGGTGCCTACCGAATGCGTGGCGTTGGCAAAGGGCAGAAGATTCGCTTGGTCATTGTGCCCGAGATACGCCAACTGATGGATAGCAAGTATGACCCACATGGCGGGCGGAACGCTATGGCTCCCAATCCAAATGAAGATGGCAACCACATTGGGATACCTCCAGCCTTACGTGTCCCGCAAGTGGGTGCTTGGCTGATGATCAACACTGCCCTGGCAGATCAACTCCAATGGGCATCCCTGCAGATGAAAGACGCAGCGAATGTGTGGCGCTTGCCTGCATTTCGAAGGTTGTTAGGCTCCGACGGACCAATTTCCTTCCGTGATGTTGAAGAAGAAGAGATCCAGAAGTCTGCGATGACTTTCATAGATACTGTCATCATGGATGTGAAGGAAGAGCTCCCAAGGGCCCGAAATATGGTCGAGATGTTGGAAGGTGCAATTTCCTCTGCCCAAAAAGCCGGCTATCTGACAGTTCCAGACCGTGCGTGCAAAGGATCCCAAGGAGACGACGAGAAGCTCTTCAAAGTTCGCAAGGAGACGACGGGAAGTGAGATGCTGGACGGAAGGGAGATGTTGGACAGAATCCGGGCGCAGGTGTCCAAGTTTGTGGAGGCTACAGCCTTTGGCCAAGCCTTAGGCGCGGAGCAGGAAAAAGAACAAGAGCAGGAGCAGGAGAAGGAGCAAGAACAAGAACAGGAGCAAGAAATGGAGATCGAACAATTTGTGGACATGCTTTTTGCCGTGACAATGAAGAACCTGTTCCTTGGCTTTACGACTCCTTGGCCAAAGTGCTCCACGAGCGAATTCTAGAAACTAGCCTCAGCAGTGACGAACTCCAGATGTTGTTTCAAGGTCTTAGTGACGGTGACAACCAGGAGCGCAAGGTCAAGTACCAGATGGCACTTGGGACTCCTCGTGTGCTGTTAGCGCCTCCAGATCTAGCGACTTTGCCGATGTTTCAAATCGCTTTTGGGCTTGAGGTTTCCTTGGCGCCTACACTGTTGGCAATCATAGTTTGCGTTGGTGCCAATTGGTTGGTGTTTGAGTGAACAGTTCAGTCACCCAACCTTGTTGTCTTAGTCATTGTCCGTGAGCTTTTTCTAATTGCTGTAAGGTTGTGAACCTTGAAGAGTGCAAGGAGGGCACAAAGTCCAAGGTGATGAAGCCCATCTCGGCAGCTGCGACTTTCCCTATGACCGTCAGTCTTACCATCCAGTCAATCCCGAAACAGTTCTACAGAGCAGCGGAGTTCAAGGTGAACAAGCTGTGCCCCTCGTTGCCATACCTGCCCACTGACGTTTTGATCTCAACAAACTATTTCAACAAGACCTGGTCGGGCTTCAGGAGAGTAAAGAATGTGGCAGTGGTTTTGGAATGGATTCGTCCAATCTCTGGGCATGGGGCATTTGCTGCGCATGCATGTCTGTCAGAAAAGGCCTCATCTGAAGATCAGGAGAGGATAGCAGCTTGTCTCGAAAGGCTTTGGCCAATGTTTGAAGCAGGTGATCAACCGCTCTTGTCCGAGAACGTTCAGCTCGTGAAGGCTGCTGCCTTTGATTTGGATCTGAAGGATTGCTGCCTTACTGGTGCTTTGGACAGGGATGGAATGAGGGGCGTCTTGTCCCAGGCCCAGGAGACAGAAGGAGACCATTTCTTCGTTTTGGTGAGCTTGGCAGAAGCTGAGACCTTGCGACGCATTTGTCATTGCAAGAGCAGCAAAGGCAGTCCAGTCTTTGCAAGCTCAAAGAATGCCAGCTTTGCATTGAGATCTTTGGTAGATTGGAACCATCCCTTTGATGAAGCTGCTGGCTTTGAGGAGGGTAAGCAACCCTTCCAAGCACAGCGTGCTGAGCAAATAGCAAGGTTTCTCAATTGTGAGACTTCCTTTGAAGGACACCAAGTTAATTTGCTGCTGAAGGCATTGCGCTGGGAAAAGCCACTTGCCAGGGAGCGTTTCTTTGTAGCAGTGGGCGGTTGCCGCCGGCGGGCACTGGGAGATAACTGGCGAGCCTTCAGCGTGGCTGAGGTTTTCCGATCGAAGCATCAGTGGGACTTCTTGGTGAAAAGGTTGCGAGGAGAGTTGTTTAGACAGAAAGCAGCATTTTTCCTACGCACTGATATCTCAAGCCTTTTCCATCTTATCGATTTGGATCAGTCGGGAGATGTTGACATGAGGGAGCTGGCACCTGCCTTGATGAAGATGTTCAAACTTGGCAATTCACCGGAAGAGAAGGAGCAGTTCATCGAGACTCCGATCGAAGTGGAACGATCTCGCAAGATGAGCTCGCCTTTTTCCTTGGCCAGTTGGGGCATATTTCTGAAGGACAACTAGCTGGGAGAAGTTCCTCGAGGAGACGTTCTAGCCTGAACTTTGAACATGGCGGAAGTCTGGCAACGCAGCTGCAGCAGATCCACGAAGAAGAGAATCACTTTTTGCAAGAAGTTTCAGCCAGTGAACTGAGCGCGAGGCGATTGAAGAAATGGAGTTGGAGGCCAAGAAACGGCTGGAAGATGCTTGGGCAGAGGTTCTGGAAAAGGAGATGGGTGAGAATCCGAAGTTGGAGGAAGGTGTTTGCGCAGTTTTCAGTTTCCAGTATCCAAATCCTCCCAGGTTCACCAACTTTGTGGGTGGGTGTCCTGAGGCCGTGCAAGACAATGATCCCCGCTTGAAAGGTCAACACCTGAAGTTTTGGTCGCTGGAAAACTCGGCAGTGGCGCTGCAAAAGATTCCTCTGCAACAGCCTCAAGGGCCTGAATCAGATGCAGAGCTCCACGATGTGAACCGTTACAATCTCACACTGTGGTTTTGCTTGCCACGGCTGCCAACGGAGAGGCTGATGCTTCTTCACTGGGGAAAACCTGAGACAGATCTCTACAGAAACTTGCCGCCTGGTGAGCTCTATGTGTGGCCCGATGGCAGAGTAGCTCCAGATGGTTTGCAGGAAGCTCGACTTTCAGAGGAAGGAGAGGTCAAGGACACGTTGTCCAAGGACTATTTGCTACAGCTGAAAGGTATTTCCAATGTATCTGATTTGGTCGGAGCTTTTGAGACCTTGGGCCTTCATCTTGGAGATGATGCGCAGGAGGTATCACTGAGGATATGGCTTCAAACGGATGCTTGCAGCCGCAAGGTGGCTGGAGGAGTGATGGGGCAAAGCCGTTCTCGCTTTGAAGGTGTGTGGGAAGAAGGCTCCGGAGGACCCAACGAAGGCGATTTGAAGCTGAGGCGGGACCTTGGGGGTAGGCCGAGTAGAGGACGTAGTAGGTAGAGGTAAGTAGCTAGTAGCTAGGTGGCTAGTAGCTTAAGTAGCTACGACCTAGGACGCAGGATAGCTCACGCTTCTTCCAGGATGTTCCCCCTGCCGCCCTAAAGGCGGCTCCTTGAAGAAGCTCTCGCGCTAATCATTTGATTCCTAGATTTTAGGGAAACTTTAGCGATGGCCTCCAGCCTGCTGAAGTTGAGGTGGTGCTTTCAAGTTGGAGCTGGTGGCTTTGAAACCTATGCTGAGTTCAGTGGCAGCTGGAGAGATGCCAGTGGCTGCGAAGGAGAGGTTTCGACCTTCAACGTTCTACAAGACAAGTTCAGCACTTTTACCTTAACTTCACAGACTTTCTTGGGCGGTCTCTGGACTGTCGAAACGAGGACTGACGGACAAGAAGAGGCAAGTCATATATTGGCAGTAGCCACTCAGCAAGACGAGGCTTTGCACTTGGACGTTGGCGGCGGATCTCTGTCTGGTAGCATCAGTGCTGCAGACGTTTTGCAAAAACATGATGTTACCCTTACTGCTTCAGCTTGCAGTGGAAGCTCGAACATCCTGTCTTTGGTTGGTCAGATGTCTAGCACACAGATGCAGGGAACTGTTGAGACTCGAGACCAGGTCGCAGGTACTTGGTTGGCCAAAAGAATTCTGAATCATTCTGCATTCCGGTTGCCTAGCAGCTTCCTGCAACGGGCTGCGAGGTGGACTGGCAGCAAGATGTTTGTTCGCCCGTGAGACCTTGAGCTTCCGTCAATTTGCAAGCGATGCAGGGAAGATGTACTTCGAAGTCACTTTAGAGAACGATGACAGTCTAGAGTCAGTGGCATGGATTCCTGTACAGGAGCTGGGGCGCCCACATACAGAAGGTTTGGCATTTTCTGATGCCAAAAAAACTTGGTTGGCTTCCAAAACAGAGGGAGACCTTCCGCAGGAACCAGTGCAGGAGCTTGCTCAGAGAGGCAATGTCCTCTTTGATCTCACCAGCGCAGGATGCGTTGCTGGAGATGTTCTTGGGTGTGTTTATGATGCCGACAAGGGTCAGGCCAGCCTCTATAAGAATGGAAAGAAGTTGGATGGCTGGCCGGACCAAGCAGGAGAAGGAGAACGATTTCCAGAGCTTCGACTTTGGGGAGACAAAGCCATTTCGTTGAATTGGGGCCAGAAGCCTTTTGCATTTCTTTTGTCGGATGTTTGCCCTCTCCTGAAAAGGCTTTGCTTGATGGATGGAAGACTCTGGAGAGCAGAGAAACCGACGAACGAATTCGGACATGGAGAAGGCATACCAACTCATTTGCATCCAGACATCGAGTCCGACCCCGTAGACCGGGAGAATTTCTTTGTGTCAATTGGAGATGTGATTCTGTGCCTTGAGGAGAAAAATCATTGGTTGCGACATGAATGGGGCTGGCCCCCTTCCTCCTGCTTCGTGCCCCATGGCCATAGCCATACAGAAGCTGACGATGATGTGGAGGGTGTGGAACTTTTAGAGGACGAGAAGGACAGCGAGAAGCACGCGAAGGTGACCTTCAGCCTTCGAGGTCAATCTCTTTGGACCATCGTTGCCCAAGAGAGAAGAAAGTTGAAGGAGCTAAGCATTGAAACTCAAAAGATTCGGACACTGTCAGATACAGAAGCTGAAGTGACTCATTTTCTGGCGCCAAACCAGCAGCATCAGTTGCAGCAGCTACAACTTCTTGCGCAGCGTGCTGGGCTGCATGCTGGTGTAGCCTCAGTGCAGGTGCCTGCCAAAACCTGCGGGGTGACCGTGCGGAAGGACACCTGGCATTTGCTCACGATCTCTGCAGACCTTCCATTCTCCATGGTGCTATGGCTTGATGGGGAGCGCGTGTTGGACATTGAGCCAGAGTATCCGGGACTGAGGAGGGGAGGACCTTTTTCTTTGGTCGTGGAACACGGCTTGTCCTTCTTTGGGATGAAAGGCCTTTGCTCCAAGGCGCAGAAGAAATGGAGCAACTTGGGTGGCCAACTGCGTGAGGTTCGCATCGCTCTTGGCCATCTCCCTTCGAAGTCAGACATCTTGCAACTTCATCAGCCAAGAGGAGTATGGCTGTGCCAACGCTCCCAGTGCGAGCGACAAGGGCTGCAGACCCGGAATTCATCCACAGCAGCCACATGCTGGAGATGCAAGGCTGAGAAAGCCAAGTCAGGTGGGCCCTGTCAAAAGAAAGGAAACCGCCAGTAGGGAACTTGGGTGTCCAAATTCATGTCTAGGCCTGAATTTGGAAGGTTTGGTTCGATTTTTTCCAGCTAACCTGGCTCAGGTGTACCGCCACCTCAAAACCCCGACCTAAGACCGGCCTGGTGACCCTGGTGGCAGAGGAGTTCGAGAAACTGGTGCTTGAAAGCGATCAATCCGTCTTTGTGGACTGCACAGCTGATTGGTGCGGTCCCTCTGTTCAAATCAAGCCCTTGATCAAACAGTTGGCGAAGATCACGCAGAAACCTGGCATTGCAAATGGGAGTGATCCGATCATTGTTGCAATGATGGACACAGATGAGAATGAGACCAGTCCCGAGTATTTCCCAGAGACCTACGTACCAAACATGAAGCTTTTTGTGAAGGGGAACAAGACAAATCCTATAAAGTTTGATGGCGAGCGGACCCTTGAAGGCGTGTTGCACTTCATTCAAGAGTACACTGAGATCAAAGACTTCAATACAGCTTTATCTGCAGGATACCCGGACTATAAAGAGAAACATGACATAGACAACCAATGAAAACAGGTCCAAAGGCTAAGTGGCAAAGAAACCCAAACGAAACAACCTAGCGGGAGCTCCGCGGGCTTCTTTTCTCCTTGAGCCAAAATGTAGTAGGGACCACCGTGAGAATGACTGTACATGTATAACCCTGCATTTGAGCTGGATTATTTCTGTGCCCCCCCTCCTTCGAAAGGGTGGTGTCCACACAAACTTGGCACTCCATCGAAAGTTTGGATCAAGCACTCATCGTGGCCATCGAAAGTGACGATCAGGTCATCGTGGAAAGGCAAGTCAGGCTAGGTTGCTGCGAAAACAAATTATGATATGGACTATGCACGCAAGGCTTGTGTACAAAGAGTTTGGCCATGTATCTCGGGGTGCATTGGCCGCTTCTCCAGTCGCACAAGGGTGACAGTACTTTCTCATTTGTGAGAACTGATCTCATATTCCAACCTAATTTACAAAGGCACGAAAGATACACTTACAGGGCGCGGCAAAGCCAGCAGCACACTGCAAGGGCAACGAACGGCACCTCTGCTTGCAGCTTTGGTTCCTACCAAGGAGCGGCCAAAATGGCCAAGCAACACCTGAACTAATCAAGGTCGGCTCAACAAGGATCGGATCTATTTCTGGCAATTGTTGCGATTTCTGACATTTGTTGCGATTTCAACTTTTGCTTGGATCAAAAATTCCTATCATGTCCAAGGCCGATTGCCATTTATGAACTTCCAGGCTCTTAGTGAACACGTCTGCTGCCTGTTGTTCTGTAGGACAGTGCTGAATGCTTATGTCTGGTTCTTTGAAAGCATCATACAACCCTTGAACATTTATCTTGTGTGTTTTACCAAGATGTCTTAGGCGAGCACTGTATCCGTTTCTGATCACCTGTATAGTGGCAGCGTTGTCCTGATGGCATGTCAAAGGAATTGGTGAATCAAGCAACTGCGACATGAACTCTTGTGCAGGGATTGCATCACTGAACAATGCACTAGCCAATGCAATGGCTTCCGCTTCAGTTGTCGAACGGCTGCAAGCTGTTTGACGTTTGGACTGAAATGTTATAGGAAAGAATGAACTTCCACCAGCGATGGCGAGCAATGACCCTGATGTGGAATATCCGTGGTCTACCTTTGAGGCATGGTCAGCATCCGTGAATAACCACAGACCCCATTCTGCATCTGGATCAAGTTTCAGCCTCATCCTATAGTTCTTTGTTCCATTTAGATAGCAAAACACCCTGAACAACCTTCTGTCGTCATTTCTGCTCCACTTGGTAATACGTTTGCTGAGTTCATTCAATGCATGTAGCAAATCTGGACGGCTAAGTCTAGCTAACCAATAGGCTTTCATGATTAGCCTGGCGGCTGAACTCGCAAGACTACCTTGGCTATCCCAATCATCAATAGGAAGTGTACTTTCATCAAGATACGGGGTTGGGGCCTTCTTGAACCCTTTGAACTCTTTGCATTCCTGTTCGTACACTTTGCAGGCGACTTCTGCAAAGTCATGCATGTCTAGCTGCACTTCCCCTTCCTGAATCAAGTGTGTTCTTCCTAGAACCTTTGTGACTTCCTGCGGAGGTTCAAATTGAAGATGCTTCTCCAACTCTGACCAGAAAAATTGATGATTTTCACTCGGACCTGACACAACAATGTCATCAACGTACAATGTGACCAACAGGCCCCACTTTTTGATGATAAAGTTGGATGGAAACAATGCTGACTCTACACCGTTCATTTGTGTCATCAAGCTTTTGAACTTCAAACCCCAATGCCCCCCTGACTCGGGGTGCCCGTACAACGATTTGTGCAGCTTTGTGCATGGTCTGCGCATCCATTTGAGGTGATCTGGAATCAACTCATCTGGCAGTTCGATGTACGTGTCATGTTCTGTTTGAAGATCACTTTGGATATAAGCTTTGGTAACATCTGATTGAGTCGTTTTGTTTCCTCTCTTCAGTCCGAAGGCTAAATTGATGTTAAGCCCGGCAATTGTAGTGGGAATGATTTTGATTTCTTGAAATTCACTTGCAAGACCAAACTCGTCCCTCACATTGTTGCCAAGAAAAACTATTCTAGCTTTTAGTTTCTTGTCTTTTTCTGATTCTGCATTCTTCCAACTCATAATTGTCATGAGTTTCCCAATCGCAATCTTCGTTCCTGACTTCCTGGATCTGTGTTCGAGCTCGTGCCTCTGGACAACATTCTTGTAATCCCATGTCCCCGCATCTATCAAACCTTGAGCTTCCTTCTTAGCTTCACTGAGTGCTGCAGGGTCGTCCTTCCAGACCTTCCTATCAATCAACTCATGAACGCTAATGGGAATTCCCTCAAGCTCAACTTCTTTTGGGACATGCACTGGATTTTCAGTGATTGACTCGCAACTCATACAAGGAACGAACTTGTGATACAACTCGGGAAACAATGATGAGATGATACCTTCGCACATTTGCATTGGATAGAATGCTGATTTTGGTGTCTTTGATCCGCACAAGTGCACATGTTTATGGCTATGGTCACATGTTTTGGTTCTCAGGCTGCGAACTAAACAGTCATCTGTTGATGCTACTGTCCATGGCTTAAATGATTCGCCTCCAACCATGCAACCATTGAAATGCGCAAGCTGAAAGTTGTTTGAGTTGAAGAAATCCTGAAGCTCTGGAATCTGCCAGCCGGAACACCCTGTTGGCCATTCGAAGTGAACCCTGCCACCACGCCTGAGGATTATTGCGGACAACTGGAAGAAAAATTTCAAGAGTTTCTTGCTTTCCAACCTTTTCAACATTAGCTTCCTACGGAATGCTGGACCTAACTTCTTGCAATTCACGTGTTGCCATCTAGACCAAGGGTTGCATGGTAGTGATCCCCAAAGGTCAACACCGTTCATGGCATCCGAATCCAACACTTCCAATAGCTGAGATTGCACTTCAAGCTCTGAAACCTTTCCGTTGCTTTCTGTCAAACGGATGTGCTTTACTCCTACGGACTCTGAAACCTTTCCAAGATTAGATTGTGGGCTACAACAAAACTCTATCATAACACCATATGCTGGCAACAACTTTTGGGCAAGTCTTTTCCCTTTCTTACCACACTGGATGGGGCGCGGCGAAGCCTGCAGCTCACCATCCTTTGCTTCGACTGCTCCGGCAGGAACGTCCGATGCCTCGGGATGCAGCTGAAAGATTGTCTGACCTGTCCAAAATTCCTTGAGTGATTTGTTGTTACCTCTCCAATGCTCATCATGGATTGTTTCCTCGACACCGCTTTCAAAGTACTTAACTTCGGTGGTTCTAGCTCCAAGTCTTTTTGCACTTACTGGAAGATCTTCAGGCAATAAGGGATTAAAGAGCTTCTTGCGTTTCACATGGTGGAATCGAGTAAGCAGGTCACCTTCAAGCTTCCAAGAATCAACACCTTTTGCAATGCCCTTGGGAAGTGTAAACTTACCCCCCCTGATTAGCCCATCAAATCTTTCTCTGCAACTGGATGTATGGATTCCCTTTCCCTTTTCACAAGCTGAACAACCTGGACTGAAACCATATTGCATTAGTCTGGAGAAAGTAATGGCTTCATGTTTGGAATGGACTTTTGGTTCATCCAAAGGATCGTCTGCAAAGATGTCGTCTAATTCTGGTTCAACTTCCTCGCGACTCACCTCTTCTTCCAATGCCCTAACATCATCCTCCAAACGCAGTACAGGTAAATCCTCCAAGGATTCTAGCTTCTTTTGCACGGCTTCACGCAAGGGAAATTTATCTTCACCAGTTTGCACAACAACCATTGAAGTGAGAACTTGAAGACCAGATTTTCCTTCCAACCATGATTTCACATTCTGAACATCACAAACCAAATATGTGCGCTTCCATTGGATCCCTGCCTCAATTCTCCAACCAAGGAACAAACCGGCTGATGTTTTGGCACCAAGTTTGGATTTAGGGGCATTGGGTTTGTAACTGATCAACGCACCAAAAGGAATGTGAAGACCTGGAAATTCATGGTCATGGAGTTTGTCCCAATTGCTAATGGTTGAGGCCAAAGCTGCATAACGAATCGCCAACGGCCATAATTCATTGAAGTTGCCTACTTGTACTAAACAACACCGGGTGACATCCTCGAGAGTGCGAATGGCTCGATTGATGATGGCGGTTTTCCTGTACGGGACGGTTGCATCATACACGAGACCTAGTTGACTTGCTGTCGACTCATACTCAGGAGTATTATCTGCATGAAATTCCACCAATGGACGTTTACCACCAAAATGCTTGAGTGCCTTGACACACTCTTCTGTGCTTTTGGTAGCTGCTGGATACGCCATTACGATTTTAGTGAAATCATCAAGCAAAACCAGGCATTTCGTTTCTCCTTTCAGCCCTTTCTTAGAACCATCCAACCGATGTTTAGCAACGATGACGTGGTCTGCATGGATCCTATCCCCAAAGCTTTTACTAGGTTTGCTATCGGTTAATACCCGATCACCTTTAACACGCCTAGCAGGAACAGCATCTTGCTTTGCTTCTTGACAAATGGGGCAATCCGCTCTCTTGGGAAGATGTAAAATGAAATGATTCGACGAATGCTCCACAGCCTCTTCGTCTGGCGGTGCTGCTGCGCCTTCTGGTGCTAAGCTTGGCTCATACCCATCAGACTCTTCCTCTAAGGCTTTTGACGAATCACCTAAATCATTCTTTTCATCAACCTCCCCGGGCATATGCAGAATACTCACCCTTTCTTTGAACAATGGGACGTTTTCTCGAACTTCACTGGCGTAAAAGCGGGATGCTTCTGGGCAACTTACCTTTAAGTCCTTAAGGTTGCTGGGCTTCACCAGGAATGGCTTTGGCAGCTCAGCGTCCTCAGAAACATCATGGCTATCACGTGGCAACCAAACGAATGCTTTCCCTTGCCGAACTTGATCACCTATGGACAAAGCCCATGGACTGTTTTCCAGCAAGTAGCACTCATTTGACCCAGAAAGTTCACCAACCACTCTACAAGAATTAGATCCATCTCTTCGCCCAC